CACATTTTTAGATAGAATAGAATAGAATAGAAATAGTTTTGTAAAGTAAAAATACTACATGAAATTAAAAAAAAATGTATATGCAATTTTCGACCAATAGCGTTATTTATTAAACTGAATTATATAATTTCATCTGCCAAACATATACTGTTGACTGTACCTTATATTATTTTAATTTCTGGCACATCGCAGCTGCATTTCGGCTCTAATAATGTAGTCATTACATTTTTCTTATATATTACATTCGCATATCATCTAGGCTCATAATTTCACCTAAATTCAAATTTCAAGTGAATTGACATGTCTAGCAGATAACAGTTCAAATGTTTTCAATGTCAAACAATGATAAGTGTTTGTTTTGTAATTTTTGCCATTTATTTCTATAATATTACAATAGTTTGATCGTTCATTAAATCTTAAAAATTATCTTTGACAAACTCTAAAAAGATTTATCAGAATCCGAATAACCGTTTAGGAGAAGTATTAAATCATACACCCGTACAGAAGAATTTTATATATATATATATATATATATATATATTTATATATGTGTGTATGTATATGTGTGTTTATATAATACCTATTAACCTATATTCCTCATCATATATGTCAATTTCTTCGCAAAGTGCTCTCTCGTGCGTAACAATTTATTACTCAGTACCAAGAATGTGGAATAATAAAAGTGTATAAAAACGATGATACCGACATTTTTTGTTGTTTTTCGTTTTCGGTTAAAATAATTTATAGCGATTTATTTTTAAAGTCGTTCACTCGCTAAAGAAAGATAAAGATGGACAGAGAGAAGCAGCTTTCAATATTTTTCGGTAATACGAAAGATTTTGTAAGATCGCATTCCGGAAAGTGAAACTTTTCGAGTACTTTGCGACATTACATTATAACGAGTTGTTTAAGAAATATAATAAAAAATTAAACGTTGCAACTAGATATCTTCATTGGATAACATTTTATTTGTATATGATCGATTTTTTCAGTATTAATAAAATTATTTTTAAACTGTTTTACTACCTTCATACTTTTTTAGGGTCACAGTAAAAGTTGTCAGGAATTTTTTATTTGTTATAAGACTCTTTGTCAACTATGAATTTAAATTTTTTAAAATAGGTCTACGAGAAAAGGTTTCTTTTACAAACTATATCAAGTATTTTACTATTTTCCAATCCTGATGAAACTTGCCAACGCACTTTAGGGTAGTTTTTTTAAAAGGAGGCTTTTCAAAGTCGACATATTTTGAAAATTTTATTTTCATAGTTTGACAAAAAATCTTACAATTAATGGTGCTTGGCATCGTGCCTTAAGGCAAATTGCCGGAACTTTCCGTACCAAAAATTAAAATTTTGAAACAGATTGAATTTTCTTTTAGAACTTTGAGAAAAAATAGATTTTTGAAATTTTTAAAATCTTTGAAAAAATTTACCTTTTTGAAAAATTTGTTTTTATATACTTTGAAATATTTTGGAAATTATGAACTTTTTTCAAAGCAACCGCGATACGTTAGCTGCGTAGAAACGAAATATCGAAGCGCATGGACGCCGCGTCGTTGTATAACGGATAAACGTTGGTACGGAACCTATAAAAATGTAAACAAAATTTGTTTTTATCGTTAAAATATCTATAAAATATATGATAATTTGATGTGCATGATCATTTTTGGCCGCCAAATGGCATTTTATCACTTATTTATTGAATCTCCAAAACCGCTAGTCCTGTCTTCTTGTGAAAAAAATCACAAGTTTTTTATTTCGTTAAAACAAATAAAATGTTTTATGATTCATTCAAATCGGACGGTCCGCTCTCTCAAAACTTAAATTAGCATTTTTGGCACTTTTTGCCCAGTATCTTCGAAACGGCTAGACCTGCCTGCCCAAAAGCTAATCAGCACGTCTCCTTATCAATAGGAATCGCATGTTTTTTGAATCATTCTAATTGGTTGATCCGTGTTCCCAAAAACGTCGACGATATATTGTATTCGCACATACATACACACACACACATAGACATTCATTTTTTCTAAGGTATGCCAAAATGTTCAGAAATTTTTGAAACGTGAAGATACGTAAAACACTTGATTTTTGGTTTCTTGCGGTTTTTATAACATTTCTAGAACCACAGAATAAAATATTGATACAATTTCCACAAGATTTCTAAAATTAAGACTTTTCGGCAAACTATGAATCAAAAATTTTCAAAATAGGTTTTTCCTATACTGGATTTTTTTTATTACAAAACTACCAAGTATTTTACCATTTTACAATCCTGATTACCAACTTTTGATAAAACTTACCAACACACTTTAGTAAATTTATTCAAGAGATGCTTCTCAAAGTCCACCTATTTTGAAAATTTTAAAATCATAGTTTAACAAAAAGTGTCACAATCAGTTCTCGACAACTTTTACTGTGGTCCTAGAAATGTTATTCACGGTTATGGTTCCAAAGTTTCAAGAAACAAAATTGATAAAGAAATTAACCACAAACACAGAAAATTGATTAAATGGTTAATTTGACCAAAGCTTCAACGCTCATAATTTTTTTAGTTAGTTAGTTAATTAGTTACGATACATATCGCCCAATTTTGGCTTGACATTGAATTTTAGGACGTGTGTGTGTTTGTTTATTTATATTTGAGTGTATTACCAATGGCCTCAGTTCCACTTGTTGAATCTGGGATTCTTGTGCAAAGTGCGGCTGGAATTGTATTTGATTCTGATAAGACAAGGGCTGTATGTGGTTCTGCTGCAGGCTGTGATGGATCACGAATTGGGCTGACGCCAAGGAGCAGGCTACCACTGCCAAAAGGAACAGTTTGGAGTACATTTTGATGGAGGTAGATTTGTAGAAGTCTGAAATAAGGAAGATAATTGGTTAATTTAGTTTTTTGCATATAATGTCAGTCATGGCATTTTAGTATTTTTTTGGGTCAATTTCTTTTATACTATTTCTTATAATTTGTAATTAAACTAGTGGTGCATGGCATCGTATTTTAAGGCAAATTGCTGAACGTACCGTACCTAAAATTAAAATTAAAGAAAATAATGACTTTACAAAAATATGTTTTTTTTTTCTAATAAATATTCTAATAAATCGTGCTGCTGTGGCAGTTTTTGAGAAGCAATATAAAGTAGTAAGCGCCGCGTTGCAGTCAAACGGATAAACATTGGTACGGAACCCATAGAAATGTAAACAAAATTCATATTTATTAATAAAATGTTTATAAAGTATCTGATAATTTGATGTGCATATGTCTAATGATCATTTTTGACCGCCAAATGGCATTTTTTTTTTCGTTAGATCTCCGAAACCGCTAGACCTGCCTTCATGAAAATTTGATCGGTTCATCTTGTTAATACAAGTTAAATGTTTTTTGATTATTCAAATTCAAATTATTGAATTATTCAAATCGGACGCTCCGTTCTCTTAAAAACTGAGTTACCGTTTTTGGCACTTTTTGCCCCATATCGTCGGAACGGCTAGACTTGCCTATTCCAAAAACTAATCAGCGCGTTTCTTTATAGAATGTTTTTTGAATCATCCAAATCGGTTATACCGTGTTTCCAAAATCGTCGACAAAAATTTGTATCCGTACAAACACACATACATCCATTTTTTCTAAGATATGCCAAAATGTTCAGAAACCTTTGAAACGTAAAGATATATAAAAAAATTCTTTTCGATTTATTTGCGATTACTGTAACTTACGGTTACAAACACATACAGCCCTAATTTTACACTTTCTTACCGCAAATCACATTATTTATTTTAGTAAACGAATAATTTTTCACTCCATTTTCAGTCAAAGAATGTTCTTTTACAAAATTATAATTAAAATTTTTTAAATTTTGTAGAAAGCCGAAATTTTACTTCAACAAACAATTTGTTTTCATTAAGGGTTGTTCAGCCAAATCACTGTTTTTTAAATGTTTGAGACCAACTTTCTTCATTTTAATTTTTTTCAATGCGGAAATGAAAAGTACACACAACTCTAAATTTTCACTTTTTTTGCCACAAAAACTCAATTTTTACATTTTGTTTGTTAAAATTTCTCTTTCTGAAAGCCATTGATGAACTACGTTTTTGAGAGAAAACTAGGAGAAATATATATCTTTGGCAAAGTTGTACATTTTTCCACAGAATTTTTGAAACCCACAGCATAATAAAAAAAAATGTTTGAATTTTGCATTGCAGTGGGTAAACCATCCACATTTTTGTGTCAGCAGCCCCTTTCACTTATGTACCACATACTCCACATTCACAATCAGTTAGTTATTTTTTGTACTAAAATTGTTATAGGAATATTTTTATGGCTAAACGAGGTTTGCCGGAACAGCTAGTATATACAATAATTAATCATTTAATAATAATCCAATCCGTTAATTATTATTAATCTAGTCTACATTAAAATGAAAATGTGCTAAGGCCGCTGACATCTGGATAATGTCGATGCAGTATTGTTTATAAATTAGCACCTTGTCAAGTCGAATATCCTTGATTCTAACTAGATTCTCTCATAAAGAAACGATTTAATTAACACAATAAACCTATTTACACGATTCTTATTGGAATTGGAATACACACTATCGGAATCGTTAAAAACTTAAGAAAGTTGTTAGGAAAAATTGTAAATTGTTTACACAATCGAAAACAAAATCTGTAAAAAATGATAAAAGTTTTTTATATTGTTCTGGAAGAACTTCAAAGGTAGATCAATCCTTGACAAAAAATTAAAAAGTTTATTTGATTATATTGTGACAAAAAAGTGGGTTTAAGGTACCCCTTTTCCGGGTTGCAATGACTGCTATTTAGTATATTCTAGCATCGCATTCCCCATGCAATTAATTATTAGATTAACACATTCACTGCCAATCTTGTGTTGCTCATATTTCACCCTGTGTACTTTATGTTACATAGTTATATAATTTATTAAAACTCTCCTTCGATAATTCAAGTTGTTGGATTATAATATAACCCTTGTAGTTGAGTGTATTAAACACTGATTTGTTTGTATATTATGTATTTGTTGCAGTTCTAATTACAGTCACTGATTTGTTACTAAGTTATAATGAAAAAAGATATTTATTTTTATTGGTTATTTACATGTTGTTGAGCGGACTTTACTTTTTGAAGTGAACAACTAGTTCAATTAAAACACTCCGCTACCCCCTCTAGCAGGGGTAGCAACCATTCCGTGAAAAGCTTAATGCCCTGAAGTTTGTCACCTTCATGGCCAATATAATAAAACGAAAAGACGTCCGAACACCCTGTGCTAAGCTTTTTTATGCGTTTGATGCAAAATTGAACCATTTATTGTACATGTTGCTTGGAAATTGAAGAAAATATACCGGGACTATTTCTGTTTGAAATAACTACAGTACAAAATTTTAATTTAAACATTTTATTTGTAAAGTCCTGTTATGTTCAAAGCATAAACACGGTCTCACGCAACATATGCGTGCGCAGTAGTGAATATATTGAATTATAAAAATATTATTGAATTCATTTTGTTAGAGATTCATTACTTGGAGTTCAAGTTAATATAAGTTGCCTAAACAATTTTATTTTTTGTGCTAAACGATTCAAAGTGACTACAAACATCGCGAGATAATTTAAATATATAGTATTAGCAAATTGCTATTTTTTATTGTGTACAGTGTTTACACCTTTGCAATAGTAAAGGCTCATACGGTTCTTCTGACACCACCCACGTGTAAGCTTTTATATATTGAATCTAACTTAAAATTAACATAAAACAATGAAATAATGTATAGTTAAAGATTGTATGAAAGTCTCGTAAACTAAACAACAGTGCTCACGACCAAAAAAACTACCAACGAAAGAAAATACTTTTGTTATGGATTTTCAAACATTGTCGTTTATTTCCCGAAAGCAACATCGTAAGAATCAAGGTGATTGCTGGTTAAACATCTTTTGCTCTCTACTTTCAAATATTGTTGTTAAAAACTCTTAACTTTACTTGTTTTTGAGATATTGGTGGTGGACCATTAAGACCTGCACTACAATACGGAATTATATTCACATTTTTTTTTAAAAATGTACTGTAAATTTTGGCAGATCATCTAAATTACCTAAAATTCCATGAAAGTCAAAATATTTGAAGTGCTCTTTAATTTTTTAATTTTTTACCAACATTTTAACTAAATTCTAGTATTATCAATTAATACAGTTTTTGCACAATACTGTAAGATCATCGTATTGCTCAGAAATAATGAATATTTACAATCTAAAGAATCTTATTAGAATATGCAAAAAGTAATCACATTGTCCAAAATTCTTATTAGAAAAAGCTATTACAAAATTTTGCAAGTATATATGCAATCTAGATTGTGCACATTTCTCACAATTTTATGGTAAATTATCATTGCATGTATATATATATATATATATATATATATAAATTACCAGTAATACTTTTTATATAAATAATTCATTATATCTGCTAATTAACATTAAATTGCATTAATGGTAATTACGCTAATGGAACCGCTCAATAAAACATGTGATAGGAGCACGTGGGGTCGACATTAATTCCATTTACTATTTATTTATTTATTTAATTTATATATTTATTTATGGAAATTAATTTAACATAAATAACATTTATTACGGAACGACCTTGCAGATTTTCGTCTAATCTTAAAATCGTTACGCAAATTAAAGGCTAATGTGGGAATTAATTAATCGCATGCAATTTGATGGATGTATGTAAGTGTGGATACGATATTTTTGAAATGTTTTAAAATGTGTGGATCGACTGTTAGGATTTTTATTAACTTCCCGTAGGGCAAGTTATAGTAATCGCAAAAAAATCGAAAATGAAAATGTTTATATATCTTTACGTTTCAGAGGTTTCTGAACATTTTGGCATACCTTAGAAAAAATGGATGTATGTGTGTGTGTGTGTGTGTGTGTGTGTGTGTATGTGTGTGTGTATGTATGTATGTATGTATGTATGTATGTATGTATGTATGTGCGTGTGTGTATGTATGTGCGGATACAAATTTTCGTCGACGATTTCGGGAACACGGATCAACCGATTTGAATAATTCAAAAAACATTCGATTCGTATTAATAAGGAGACGTGCTGATTAGTTTTTGGCGAAAGCAGGTCTAGCCGTTCCAAAGATACGGGGCAAAAAGTGCCGAAAACGGTAACTCAGTTTTTAAGAGAACGGAGCGTCCGATTTGAATATTTCAAAAAACATTTTACTTGTATTGACAAGATAAAGAATTGATCAAATTTTCATGAAGGCAGGTCTAACGGTTTCGGAGATCTGATGAAAAAAGTAAAAAAAAATGCCATTTGGCGGTCAAAAATGATCATTAGACATATGCACATCAAATTATCAAATATTTTATAGAGATTTTAACAATAAGTATAAATTTTTTTTACATTTCTATGGGTTCCGTACCAATGTTTACGCGTTAGACGGCGACGCGGCGCTTACGGGCTTTGATATTTCGTCTTTATGCAGTTAAAGCAGTACGATTGCTCTGAAAAAAAGTTTAGATCTTCCAAAATATGTCAAAATAAAATAAAACATTTTTTTTTAAAAAAAAAAAATAAAAAAAATTTTTTTTTTTCAAAAAAAAGTAATTTTTTGTCCAATATATAGTTTCTCAAAAATCTTATTTTTTCAAAGTAAATTTTTTTCAAAAATCTTAATCGTTTTTAAAAAAAAAATTTTGGTACGGGAAGTTCCAGCAATTTGCCTTAAGGCACGATGCCTTAATTGCCTTAAGACAGAATTCCACTTACAGCTAGTTTTTCGATTTTTTTAACTTCCCGTAGGGCAAGTTATAGTAATCGCAAAAAAATCGAAAATGAAAATTTTTATATATCTTTACGTTTCAGAGGTTTCTGAACATTTTGGCATACCTTAGAAAAAATGGATGTATGTGTGTGTGTGTGTGTGTGTGTGTGTGTGTATGTGTGTGTGTATGTATGTATGTGTGTGTATGTATGTGCGGATACAAATTTTCGTCGACGATTTCGGGAACACGGATCAACCGATTTGAATAATTCAAAAAACATTCGATCCGTATTGATAAGGAGACGTGCTGATTAGTTTTTGGCAAAGGCAGGTCAAGCCGTTCCGAAGATATGGGGCAAAAAGTTCCTAAAACGGTAACTCAGTTTTTAAGAGAACGGAGCGTCCGATTTTAATAATTCAAAAAACATTTTATTTGTATTGACAAGATGAAGAATCGATACAACTTTCATGAAGATAGGTTCAGCGGTTTCGGAGATATAGAGGAAAAAGTAAAAAAATGAGCCATTTTGCGGTCAAAAATGATCATTAGACATATGCACATCAAATTATCAGACATTTTATAGAGATTTTAACAATAAGTATACATTTTGTTAACATTCCTATCGGTTCCGTACCAATGCTTATGCGTTAGACAGCGACGCGGCGCTTACGCGCTTTATATTTTGTCCCTATGTAGTTAAAGCAGTACGATTGCTTTGAAAAAAAAGTTCAGATCTTCCACAATATGTCAAAATAAAGAAAAAAAAAATTTTTTTCAAAAAAAAAAATTTAAAAAAAAAAAATTTTTTTTTTTAATTTTTTTTTTCAAAAAAAAAACTAATTTTTTGTCCAATTTATAGTTTCTCAAAAATCTTATTTTTTCAAAGTAATTTTTTTTCAAAAATGTTAATCGTTTTAAAAAAAAATAATAATTTTTGGTACGGGAAGTTCCAGCAATTTGCCTTGAGGCACGATGCCCTAATTGCCTTAAGACAGAATTCCACTTACAGCTAGTTTTTTTTTGAAATTACGGAGAAAAAAGTGGTGGAGAATTTGATGAATGCGCAAGAAAATATTAAGTAATTTTTTCTCAAAAATAACTTTGTGGACAAATTTGAAACCCTTACAATTATTAAAAAAATAAATTAAACTGAAATTAAACTAGTGTTGTATTATGGCATCGTGATTAGAGCCAAATTGCTAGAACTTGTGTTTTTTGGACAACAAGTAAAACTTTAGGACATTTTTTTAAAATACAAAATCTGATAAGATTTTGAAAATTATCGCAGTGTGAGATTTTCAAAATTGACAAATATTAAAAATAAGTAAAGGTTTTTACTCTATAAGTTGATTACTAAACAATTTTTAATTTTTTATCGTATCTTTTCGTTTAATTTGCTTTAAACTAATTTGAGAAAAATATTTACAATTTGAAGATCTTAGTTTTAAATAACTTATAAAATCAAACATTTAGAGTTTTCAAAAAAATCAAAACTTCAGTAAAAAACTAAATACTTAAAAAAGTTTGTGTAGAAATTTCAAAACAATTTCAAATGTAATTGAAATGTATATCAATTCTAAAGTTTGAAAATAGATATAAATTTTTGATTATCCCAAAGAAAATTAAATAGTTTAAAATTTTTAAGAGAAAAAGAAAATCTAAATTAAAGCAAATTAAAATGAAATCATTAAAAAATTTGAAAAAAAATCTAAATTTTTAAATATCTTAGAAGAATGCAATATTGTTTGAAATTGGAAAAAAATTGATTTTTTTAAAGTTAAATAGATAAACTTAAAGATGTGAAAATAATTCTAAATTTTCAAATATTTCTAACAAAAAATAAATATCAATAAAAATTGTTTATCAAACAAGCAAAAACAAACATTTATATTATTGGCTCATAAAGGATGATGTGTTAAAAGAACCAAATGTCTGAAACTCTGAACAAGTCTGAACAAATTTTGAAAATATTATTTGTAATCAAGGACATTATATTGAAATAAAAATATAAATTAGAAATTAAAACAAATCTGAAATTTTAAAATAAATCTAAATCTTAAAAAAAAATAATTATCTGATACTTATCTATAACAGGAAGACAGTCAAAATTTTAAAAGAGGATTAAAAAATGATCCAATATTTTGAGAAAAATCTAATTTACAAAAAATATCTTATATACCACTAGTTATATAATTTGTATTGAATAATTGTAGTTAGCTTTTACCAATTATTTTGTAATTTTTCCCAAAATGTTGACATTATTATTGATATTAAAAAAAATCAAGAATTTTAAGAAAAACTCAAACTTAGAAAGGACGATGTGTTAAAAATTCCAAATGGTTTTTAAAAAAAGTTAGCTTATTGAACTATAAGGAAGATATCAAAATTTTCAAGAGAATTCTGGAATTTTAATTAAAGCTTTAATTTTAATAAATGTTAAAATTTCCAAAAATGTTATTTGTAATTATGGACATTATATTTTACAGAAAATATAAATTAAAAATTGAAACAAATCTAAAATTTCAAAATAAATCTAAATTTTCAAAAGAATTCATTATCACAAACTTATCTATAATAGGAAGACAGTCAAAATAAAAAAAAACAAATTAAAAGAAACATCTAACATTTTGAAAAAAATCTCTATATTGTGTTAAATAATTAAAAATATCTATATTGTGTTAATTAATTAAAACAAACTCACCTTTCAAATAAAAATCCTTTTTCGATTCAAATCTCTTTCACACTCACTTTGTTATCGTTAGATGGCACTAACACTCTCGTTTCGAATTAAGAACTTTTCGAATTTAATCTTTTGAATAAATATTTTTACGTTAATAAATTTGATATATTTATTTATAAACAAATTACAATTTATTTATGTTAGCAATCACTTTCGTGTTTAATTCTCGACTGTGCTTGAGAAGTGCGTGAGTTCCACTTTTTATATAACGAGACGGGGGACCTCCCGACCTTGGTACGAATTCAGAAGAAAAAGATATTTTATTCAAAATATAATATAAAACACATGCATTGGGGGGTATCATTGACGAGATCCATTTTGTATTAATATTTGGATCGATTAACTACTTCCTGTAAGACAGTGTTTTCCAAAATTTTTATATCAACATTTAACTAGAACAAACTTTTTTTAATCTAGTTCATCAAACTAATTGCTCAGACTGTGATTTAGTTTATATTGGCTAAACTGAACAAAATTTTATAACATGACTTGAGCAACACAAAAATAATTTAAACTAGTGGTGTATGGCATTGTGTCTTAAGACAAATTGCTGGAACTCCCGTACTGTAATGATATAATCGAGAATTTTCAAATGTTTTCCAAATGTTAAGACAGTGTTTTTCAAATGTACGACAGGGTATGACAAATGTTTCTCAAATGTTAAGACAGTGTTTTCCAAAATTTTTATACTAAATTCAACACTTTGGGATACCTGTAATTTTAACCTTTAACTAGAACAAACTTTTTTCAATATCAATATCTATTTCATCAAACTAATTGCTCAGACTGTGATTTAACTTATATTGGCTAAACTGAACAAAATTTTATAACATGCTTTGAGCAACACAAAAGCAATTTCAACTAGTGGTGTATGGCATCGTGCCTCAAGGCGAATTGCTGGAACTTCCCGTACCGTAATGAAATATTGGAGGGATCTCAAATGTTTATAAATTGATTTTATATGAATACAGTAACTTTTATTATTCGTATTTTATAGACAAAATATAAGAGCTTATAAATTAGACGACAACGTTTATATAAGTTTACATAAAAATTAAATAAACAGAACTTAATGAATGGGGTTTAGAATGAAGGATCGTATCTCATATTTACAAAAATTATATAAACAGAATTTCAAAGTTAAATTTATTTATTTCAAGTATATAAGTGAGCTTTAAAACTTTAGCTAGAATTAAAATTAAATTCAAAATATTTTCGATATTTATAAGAAAATGTTTTTGTAAATGAAAAAAAAATGCTTTTTGAAATGTTGAAAAAAGCTCATATTTTTTTGTTTTTCCTAAAAACATCCATTTTGTCAACGCAAGCAATATGTTTTTTGAATTACTCGAATGCTCATTTAGCGTATATCCGAAACGGCTGGACCTACCTTTGCCAAAAACTAATCACAATCATTACAAATTGAATGTTTTTTGGATCATTCAAATCTTGTGCTCCGTTCTCTCAAAAACTCGATTTCTATTTCCTGCACTCTTTGCTCTTTATCTCCGTAACTGCTGGACCTGCCTTTGCCAAAAACTAATCAGCATATTTCCCTATCAATAGGATTCGAATATTTTTAAACTAGTTGTGCATGGCATCGTGCCTTTAGGAAAATTGCTGGAACTTTTCTTATCGTATTTTAAAATTTTTAAAAGCTTCAAAACAATAACAATAAAGTTTTAAAACAAATACAACAGATTTTTGAGAATTTTGAAATTTTTGGAAAAAATGGTCTAGTTTGCAAACTTTTCTTTTATTTATATTTTTTTTTTGAAAATTTTGAACATTTTTTTTTTCGAAGTAATTGCGCTGTTTTAGCTAAAGTTGAAATATCAAAGCGCGTAAGCGCCGCGTCGCTCTCTAACGGATAAACAATGTTACGGAACCTATAGAAATATGAACAAAATTTGTTCTTATTATTAAAATCTCTATAAAATATCTGATAATTTGATGGCATATGTCTAATGATTATTTTTGACCGCCAAATGGCATTTTTCTTACTTTTTTTATTAAAGCTCTGACACCGCTGGACCTGCATTCCCAATAATCAGTTATTCAATTTATTAATTCGTCGATCCAAATAAAATGAATCATTCAAATCGGACGCCCCGTTATCTCAAAAACTTAAATACTATTTTTGGCATTTGTCTAGGCCAAAAACTAATTAGTTCGTCTCCCCATCAATACAAATCGAATGTTTTTTGGAAGATTTGGACCAATTTAGAAGAATTGGTTGATCCGTGTTCCCAAAATCGTCGACAAAAATTTGTATTCGAACATACACACACAGCCAATTTTTCTTGGGTATGCCAAAATGTTCAGAAACCATTCAAACGTAAAGATATATAAAAAAATATTTTTGATTTTTTTACGATTAATATAACTTACCCTAAAGGAAGTTAAAAATTTTGAGTTCCTAATGAAATTTTGAATGGTTTAAGAGTGCATGATGTTAACGAATATATCAAAATATCAAAATATACGAAAAGTGTTTTTTTTTTATAAATATCAAAAATGATAAAATGTCAAAACTTTTATTTTCACAATTTTACTAGTTGCCTAATATCAATTCTTATAAATAAATTGACAAGAGCCTAAAATAATATTTATTATTATTTATTATGGCTTGCTTATGAATAAATAAATAAATAAAATAATAAATTGGCTATATACAAATTTCAGAAAGTTGATGAAACTTGCATTGAGGCAAAATGCCACTTGCATCTAGTTCAAATACCAAATCGTCACCTAAGAAGTTACACTTCAATATTATTAATGGTCTGTGACCATCTATTAACCATCACATAATTATCCTCCAAATATTCCCGAATCATCAAATCTAATTATTCCACCTTGTAATACCAATTCAAATTCAATAATGGCAAATTTAATTCTATTAATTTTTTTCTCGAAATCAATTAAAGTTTAAATTTGGCGCCGCCGATCCAATTACTCGCACACCCGGTTCGCCTCGATTCGCCTCGTTCCGTCACTTCCTATATCCGATCGTTCGTTCGGTCTCTTCCTGATTCTGCAGCCGGAAGCGTCCGGAAGAGATCCGAATGATCTCGTTCGGCGAACGAATGGCGAGGGGACCCCCCGAGGCGAATAAAGATCTTTGTAATTGATTGATTGAATTTTATTGTTTTTTTTTTTAAATGTTTTAATGTTGATGTTTATTGCGAGATGAGATTGTTGGTGACAATGAATGGAATTGTCAAGTCGAAATGAAAGTGTGAACTTTACAAATATTGAACATCTTGTTGTTTAAAATTAATATTATTATTTTTTTTTGATCATATAATATTTTCATATCTCAGTCAGGCAGGGGTGTCTGATATGAGAGATTATGAAACAATTTTTATACTTTATATATACATATCATTTTCTTATATTTTATAATTTCTGGACATCGAATCGGAACAAAAGAGAATGAGATGTCATATTTGTTTTTTGTAAACAAATATTGTATAATACAATTTTTGTGAGGATGGAAATAATAATTACAAATGATCACATTTCACAATTCAATACTCTTGTAATTCCCGTTATAGTAACGGTTCAAAAATCAAGGGCAAGTTATAGTAATCGCAAAAAAATCGAAAATGAAAATTTTTATATATCTTCACGTTTCAAAGGTTTCTGAATATTTTGGCATACCTTAGAAAAAATAGATGTATGTGTATGTGTATGTGTGTGTGTGTGCGGATACAAATTTTCGTCGACGATTTCGGGAACACCAATCAACCCATTTAAATAATTCAAAGAACATTCGATTTGTATTGATATGGAGACGTGCCGATTAGTTTTCGGCAAAGGCAGGTCTAGCCGTTATGATGATACGGGACAAGAAGTACCAAAAATCATAACTCAGTCTTTAGGAGAACGAAGTGTCCGATTTTAATAATTCAAAAAACATTTTACTTATATTGACAAGATGAAGAACTGATTGAATTTTTAGGAAGGCAGGTCTAGCGGTTTCGGAGATCGAGTAAAAACAGTGAAAAAAAATCCATTTGGCGGTCAAAAATAATCATTAGGCATATGCACGTCAAATCATCAGATATTTTATAGAGACTTTAATAATGAGAATAAATTTTGTTTACATTTCTATGGGTTCCGTACCAATGTTTATCCGTTAGACTGGGACGCGGCGCTTACGCGCTTCGATATTTCTTCTCAAAAACAGCCAAGCAGTACAATTGCTTTGAAGAAAATTTAAAAAATATAACAAAAAACAAATTTGTCAATAAAGCGATATTTAGCTTCTGATAGTGTAAGTTATAGTAATCGCAAAAAGATAGAAAATGATTTTATCTCTTTTTCTTCACGTTTTAAGGATTTCTGAACATTTTGGCATACCTTGAAAATAATCGAAGTATGTGTGTGTGTGTATGTATGTGCGGATACAATATTTTGTCGGCAGTTTCGAGAATACGGATCAAATTTTTCAAAATATAAAAAAAAATTCAAAAAATTTTCATAGTTAATTTTTTTTTAATTTTCCCAAAAATTTTAAAGGCTTTTTAGAAATTTGAATTTTCGGTACGGTAAGTTCCAGCAATTTGCCCTTGAGGTACGATGCCATGCCTAGTGGTGTCTGAAATATGTCAAAATTATCAGAAACTTCTGATTACAATAACTTAACTTACGGAAAGTTAAAATATTAATATTTTTAAAAGATATATGCAACCGCATTTTTAATTAAAAGTTATATTCAACCGCATTTTTAATTAAAAAACTATTACTTAATTTAAATCAAACTTTATATTGTATGCTAATTATATAACATTTATATAATTTTAATAACAATTTGTATTTCTTAATTAATTTTCTTAATAACCTACGCATATTCAATATTAAAATTCGCTATGTATGTTAATATAAGGTATAAGATAATATTCGAATTTTTAATATTATTTCTCCTTTTCTAAATTATTTTTCAATGAACAAAATTTGCATCAAAAATTATTTTTATTGATCGCCCACAATTTTCTAGGATATAAACGTAAAGTTTTTATCCTAG